ACCCTCACACTTGATCACACGTCAGTACCCGAGACAACAGCTGGTGTCACTAAAAGTGATGAAAACATGAACAATTTCACACAAAAAAAGACTAGCAACAAATACAGCAACAATAACAACACTAACAACAAAGATAATAGCACTAAGAATAAAAATAACAACATTAACAAGATTAACAGCAAAAACAACAATTATAACAGTAATTACAATAACAACAGAAGGAAAAAACTAGAAGGAAAAAACAAAAACGAAGAAGAGTGGCGGCGAAGAAGACCAGGCTACAAAACAGGAAGAAGTAAGTAGGAAGGGCAGCAAACGCGTACTTAGACACCTTTTTTCGCGGTACTCTCAGACGGGAAAATATGGATCTCATATCCATAAAACGTAACTGTAGTATCTTTCTATACGAATAACAATAACGATATTAATACTTTATTAATAATACTTTTTTTTGTAAATAATACATTTTCTGAAGTGTTTATAATAATAATTAATTAGCACTTATTTACGCGGAGTAGATTTTAGGCTTTTTAAGTTAGTGATACGGTGACATTTTTTACATGGATCATTTTATTCAATAAAAAATGTCACAAATAACTAAAATAATATTTGTATATAACATTGTTGGTTGAACAGGTAAAAGAGAGCCGTAAGTTAAAAGACTTGAATTAAGCAAAATTGAAAAAGTGTTTTTAAAGGTCAATAAAAGATTAGTGTTTTTACCGCATGTCCAAATATGCACCAAAGCGCAAGGAATGTTACTAATGTCAATTATATATATATATCATCTTACTCGTAGAATACACACAATGCCGAATAGTTAAAAAGAAATTAAAACAAAAGATATATCGCAGAAATATTAAATAATGATCTGACGCGCCGTCAAACAAGACGGGAAAAAACAATAAATATAAATAAATTGTCTGATGTTTGTTTATGTTGTATCTAGTCGAGAGAGACAAACCTTGCTTAAGCAAAATTTAATTTAAATTGAATAAAAAAGAGCTTTACTTAACTTTTAATTTGATCTGATAATAGTTGAAAATCTTTAACCTCCAAATGGATTTTAGAAAATCCTATTCGCAAAAGGTTTCTCAACTAAATCCGAAAACCAGAAACTTCCAGAAAAACGAAAAATCGCTAGCTTCATTGCTACATTTGCGGGAAAAATTGAATAAGCAGAGGTTAGATTTCATCGCCAAGGTTACCATCAACGTCAGTGGGCTGCGGTTCGAAACCCGACTGACCACCTTGGAACGCTTTCCGAATACTTTGCTGGAAAATAAAGAAAAACGAATGGAATATTATGATCCATTAAATAAAGAATATTTTTTTGATCGGAATCGCCCAAGCTTCGACGCCATTTTGTATTACTATCAGAGCGGCGGTTGCTTGCACCGGCCTAGCTACGTACCGGAAGAAGTTTTCGCCGAAGAAATACGCTTTTATGAATTAGACGACCAAGTGCTACAAAAATACTTCCAAGTTTGTTGGATAATCAAACTTTTGTGTGTGTATGTGTGTTTTTGTGAGTGGGTGTCTGTTTGTATGTGTGTGTTATATATGTATATACATTCATTCTGCAGCAAGAAGGATATAACCCTCCAATGGATGTGATATTACCCAAAAGCAATTTTAAAAAAATGGTGCTCTCTTTTTTTGCTTAATATCCAAATTGTTCATATGTGTGAACAATAACAGAAGACGACAATTCATAAAACCATCATTTAGATGTGGATATTATTGGAATACAACGAAAGTTCGGACGCAGCACGATTGTTAAATTTGTTCTTGGCAGTTGTCACACTTGTGTCCGTGGTTAACTTTTGTGCCGAAACGATTCCAAATTCGAAAGTATTCAAATTACCCAAATATTTAGAGTAAGGGTTCTTTTTTTCTCTAATATTTAAAAAATGAAGAACTCAATGCCACTACATATGTCGTAGGCAGTATTAAGCCGGCATATCACAACGAATGTTATTCAAGCATTCCTAAGTGAAACGTTAATTTGTCACAATACCATGATTATAAACACGCTATTCATTGTTCATCCATTGTTGTTCTAAGGAGCCTTTTTTCACCTGATAACATGCCCGATGTTCTAATGATTTTTGAATTATTAATATACATACATCATTGACTTATACATAGGAATTGAAATTGCAAGCACTTGCTTGAACGTTGACCTGGAAGCATTTGAGTCATTATATTCTATTTATCAGCTTTCAAAGATGTCTAGATCTGCTCTTGCACACATATACACAATTTGAAATTATATAATTACACAATGGCGCATCTAGACAAACATGACGGGGGGAGGCCAAGATTTTGAAAAATATTTGACGACTGGAGAGGGAATATTTTCCGAAAAAGTTGACGACTCCCATCCCCCACTCTTACATCTGCCACTCTATTCAGTAAAAATTTAAATAATAATTGAACTGATGTTTAACATCACAGGACAGGCAACTCCACAAACGGAACATTTCCTCACGGCCTCGAATATAAAGTAGAACCAGTTTCAGAAACATTCTTCTGGGTGGAACTTGCGTGTTTATTTATTTTTACAAATGAATTGACACTAAGATTTGTTTGCTGTCCAAATATTTTCACATTCATGAAGGACTATATCGTCATCATTGACTTCCTCAGCATCCTTCCGCAACTGGCTCTCGCCATCAAATATTTTGATCATAAATCAGCGCGGTTTTTTAAGTTTCTTAAAACTATTAGTGTACTCAAAATGTATCGATATTCAAAAAGTTAGACTTTTGTAGCGATAGAATTTTCATAAAATGATACAAATTATTTCTCATAATTCTGTGAAACAGGTCTGAGAGTTATATTTCAAACAATTAGAGCAAGTACGATGGAGATAAATACAATAATTTTTACCATCGTCATCTGCGTTGGATTGTTTTCATGGGCCATGTACGTTGTCGAGACAAACACAAAGAATGCTAAAATCGAGAACTTGGTTGAGGCAACCTGGTGGGCAGTGATAACCATTACAACAGTTGGCTATGGCAACGAAGTTCTCCTTGATACGTCTGGTAAACTAATTGGATCCATGTGTGCTGTCGTAGGTGTTCTCATCAACGCCCTTCCTGCACCTCTCATCATTCCAAATTTTAATTATTTTCGCAACTCGCAAACTCAACGGAAAAACAAAGAAGTGTTTTTAGAGCTTCAAACGTTGAAAAATCCAAGTCTATATGACGACGAAATGTTAGCACTCAGCCACCTGAAGGAAGCAACCGTTCAGAACCTTCGACCGCTTGAAGCATATTTACAGATCTAAAATTGAGCTGAATAAAGTTGGAATTTTCCAAGAAAAAATAATCCAATATAAAACGTAAGAAAAAAGATTATTGACTTATCTATTTAGCACTGCTATGTGTATAAATAAAAATTTATCATTTCGAATCAGTCAATTTTTTTGGTCATGTTGTCAAAACGATTATTAAAACAAACCATACTAAATCATTTTGAGTTCACTCTGCGAACTAATTAACAGCTAAGCTTCAGTGTCTTTTGGTGTACATGTACACGTTGTTGCGTAGCCTCAACAACAGATTGATCGAAATTTCAAATTCTTTACTGTTTCCATTTCATTTCAAAATCACCAAATTAGATTTGTTTCGTGAATAAACATTACTTAACTTTTACCGCCATCATGAGTTATCTCAATCAGCCTACTTTATACAAGTGCCCAGGAAGCTGGGAGATTAATATAACCGATATAACCGCCAACAGATCTTTTGGAGTCAGGTCTCTAATAGTGAGTTTATCTATCGCGGTTGCTTCCATCCTTTTATATATTTAATATTCATAATAATTATCCTAGTATATAATTTGTTTTAAGTTATTTTGTAGCATTTTAGTTCGCCCACGACTACAAATAAAATTCAATTATTCATTTTTCCAAAAAAAGTAATTTTTGAACATCTTAAAATTGCTAATAAGAAACTGGTGTCAAAAACGTTATGAGGTGATTTAAGCTAATGAATGAAAGATAAACATTATAATATGCAGTGTGAGTCAATTTCATTGTGTCATGATTCGTAAAAGTAGCAATAATAAATAAAAAAAAACGCATAAACGAACTTTTAATAAAAGAAAAAGCACGCAGACTTAATTTTTAGTTGGAGAAAAAAGATGGACTAGAATATGATATCACATGGCTAATTTAAAAGCAAGCAAATAGCAAAACGGTCAATGGAAGCATAATTTAGATTCATCAAGGGCATAACTGCCTTCATCTTTCTTCTTCAACCTGCAGACGAACAGCAAAATTAGGAGGACTGTGAGGAAGAGGACCACTGATACACATGAGATGACAACTGGGATATAAAAAAAATTTATGTTTTTAATTTCGCAAAAATAAATACAGTCACACATAACACAATAAAATAAAATACAAACATTCCATTTCAACATTTACACAAAATTCCATCAGCATTTGGATATTACAGAATATTTATTACATTAGGCTTGGTGTTGGTGATTTGGTGATTAGTCAAATAGTGTTAAAACTGAAAAAAAATAAATCTACCAACTTGCATAATGTATTGCTTTTTCATAACTAATTCTTGTCTCATAAACTGTAATTTAAAAATAAAGATATAAAATCTATCAAGATTTATTTGTAAATGTAACAATTAAATGGTGTAATGTATTTATATTTATATTTATATATATATATATATATATATATATATATATTTGTATATATACAATACATATATATATAAACATATATAAATATATAATTAAACACACACATACACATATATATATACATATATATATATATGTATATATGTGTGTGTGTGTGTGTGTGTGTGTGTTTATTTATATAAATATATTGATGAAAATCAAAGCATGTTCGGCGTAGTTAACTTCCAATTTAACTTTTCAATTTTTCTAATGGTTGATTGTAAATCATTTTCAAGTTTCTTTAGTTCAAAACTAAGATGATCAATCGTTAGAAAAATCGAAAAGTTAAATTGGAAGTTAACTAATGCTTGTTTTGTTCTCACAAACATTACCTTAGTATTAGAATAATATTATCATTGTTTCACAAAATATATTGATCATAAGTAAACCTTTTTTAGAGTTTTTGATTCTAGTAGAATTCACCATAGATAAAATTTTGTCTAGGTTGTTTTTCCCATAAGTTGAATTAGAGGTAATGCTTTCAAATTCCATGGCTGAAATATTTAAAGAATGATTTCATGTTTGAAACATGTAAAACATAATTGAAACTATATACCATCTCCACTGTTCTCTTCGTCAACATGGTAGAGCTCAGTCCCACAAACAGTTGTTAGCATAGCCTAACATAACAATTCATTAATAAATTAATTATATTAAAAATAATAAATCAATTAATTGAAAAAAATTAATTATATAGAAGAAATTACTACAAAGTGTCATGCCATTAAATTTAATTAGTTTATGAATAACTAACTAATAAATGTAAATATAATATATATACATATAATACATATATAAAAAATACATATAATAAATCTGTGTCATTCTCACAACCTTTGATATTCCATAAATAAAAAAGCAATAAAATAATAATTTTCTGTATAAAACTTAACAGTCACTTCATGTTTGATGTTATAATATCATATCATCATTGTTGACTGTATCAAAATATAAATTAATATTTCATTAATTTAAAAAAATTAGCTTTCTAACTTTAAACACAAGTAAGCAAGCTATAGAAATTGCTGTTAAAAAATTGATACTCTTGGCTTTGCTTTCACACAATTTGTCGAAGTTATACAAATTTAATTTTTGTTGAAACATGGTTGATCCAATTTTAATCATTTATTTGTATTATAGTCATAAATTTGAAAAATATTAAATAATAAATACATATTACATAGTAATAAATTTTAAAATATAAATTATGCACTGCACAACATAAAGTTTAATTAATTATTAAGTACTATATATAAAAGTACTTTAAAGGATAAAATATTATTATTTATCCATTCAGTCAATTTTATTTATTATTTTTTATAAGTTCCAAAGCCAGTTCAAATTAAAAACTTTAAAATTTACATTAGCAAACATTTGATTTCATTTTTTATTTAAATAAAATTAAATATTAAAAATTAAAATTAAATTAAATTAAACAGTATAATATTTAATTTAAACTTCACTTCACTATAACTTTTTCAACTTATATAAATAAAAAAATAATTATTAAATTTGAAAATCAGAATTTGAAAAAAATGTTTTAATTTAATAAATTATTATTTTTATTATTATTATAAAATAAAATATTAATATATTTTATATTATAAATATTAATTTTATTATTTAAAAAAAACTAATTTTAATTTGTTATTCTTCAAACCCCTGGCGATTTGTGTTTATATGTTAATAAAGTCTTTTAAAGTTAATAATTTAATAAATTATAAACACATCGCTATTCACTGATTCGTAATTCCATACCTCTCACATTTATAAAAACGAAGCGACGGTTTTAACTCAGCGACGATTAAGCATATGTAAAAGGCGGATTATGAAAAAACCGATTAAATAATAAATATTTAAAGGTTTAATGAAATGAAAAAAGATTTATTATTGTTTTTTATTTGCTATTTATAACATTTTAACTTTATTCAGATTAAAAATTGCATAAAACAATAAAAAAACTTTATCTTAAAATCGCAATATATTAATATACCAACGATAAGGAGAAAGTTAAAAAATCGCCAAACATTTATTTATGTGTGCATCTAGAAAATATTTGCATCTTCTAATAGACAATTTTATTCCCAAAAATACCATATATAACAAAACTTTCTCCCGTTTTGTGCACATTTTCAAAAATTTGATTGAACGCTTTAACCCTACATTTCCAAATTTGCGTCATCGGTAACAAGAAAGTTAAAAAATCGCCAAAAATCCATTTATGTGTGCATCTGGAAAATATTTGCATTTTCTAATAGACAATTTATAAATTAATATTAAATACCAGGCAATGATTTGATGACTGAAAACCCGGAACTCGTGGCCGCGAGATATGAATCCTTACTCAGACTGTTAGAGAACAAAATCAGACCGCGCCGAATAATCATATTAAGTCTGGTTTATAGAAAAGACGTTCAGAAATGGAAAGTTGATAAACTAAATGCCTCATTGAAACAATTCCAGTCTAACATTGTTCATTTCTGGAAGCTTGACAGAGTGGGAGGAGATAATAATATAGGACCTGACGGCATCCACCTGAATGAACGTAGAATGATGAACTTTAAGAGAAACATCATTTATTCTCTAAAGTGCGCGAAATAAATTTTTAACATTTTTATTTGTAATAAAAAGTTTATAAAAAAGTATGCATTGTTGTTTAATATATCTTTGTATATATATATTATATATGTACCTATATATCCATTTTTTTTATATAAATGTGTTTGTGTGTGTGATATGACTTAATTACTCATTTACTAAAACATTTATAACTTTTTTTATTTATCGTTAAAAAAAATTGCGGTTTCAAAATGTAACAAACAAATGTCATAAACAAGCCCCAATATCGAAGTTGATTGATACACAGGTTGGGGTTGAATGTTAGCATCAAATATCATTACAACGAAAAAGAAAGTTATTAAATATTCACCATAAAGGTTAAAGGCTTCTCTCTCTCTTTTGCGTTTGCTTCAGAGGTTTCAACGACAAACACACAGAGCGTATATGAATACGCGTGCAAACCACGCATCATACACATTGCATATGATAGGCGGGGATCTCTTTGTATTCGAACCCAGTCAATGCAATAGCAAGACCAGGCGCCTTTAACCATTGAGCCATCACGCCATAGTTATGACAAATGAATACTTGGTTTCGTCGTTTTCGTTTTAACTGATTTGAAATAACAGGCCTACTCTTTCGCTATTTTCTGTTCCAAAATAACACTAAAAATTTGTCGATTATGTTGAGCTGTTAACAATGGACAATGGACAATGCCTCCATTTGACAAATTCTGATGTGACGCAGCATCAGAAAAATAAAACTATTGACGAGCAACGTCCTGGATTGAACGTGACGGTCTAATGGTTAAGGTCGCCTGGTGCTGTTTCGCAGTAACCGGGTTCGAATGTGACAAAATTATCCCCGCGTATCACATGCTTCGTGTGTAATGCGTCGTTTAGCACGATGTTCATTTACGATGTTTTGCGCTCTGTTGAATCTTCTGAACTTTGGAAGAGTGTAATTGACGGTCTAATGGTTAAGGTCGCCTGGTGCTGTTTCGCAGTAACCGGGTTCGAATGTGACAAAATTATCCCCACGTATCAATAGTTAAGGTCTAATGGTTAAGGTCGCCTGGTGCTGTTTCGCAGTAACCGGGTTCGAATGTGATAAAATTATCCCCGCGTATCACATGCTTCGTGTGTAATGCGTCGTTTAGCACGATGTTCATTTACGATGTTTTGCGCTCTGTTGAATCTTCTGAACTTTAGAAGAGTGTAATTGACCTTTAACTTTTTTCTGTTTTAATACAGTACATTTTGTAAAGCGGAGTTGGCGGGAAAACAACTAAGGGCAGACTGTAAATGTGTCAAGCGTCATTGTTATTGCGCTATGTTTTGGTTCAAATACTATCTTTCAAAAACTCAAAAATCATCATACAACTTGTGCACATACTTGTGCACATGATTTTATTATATCAATATATAGTCTTCAATACCTCGTTATCGTATTGTTATCGTATCGTTATGTATCGTTTTCAAAATAATAACGAGACACAGATTCTTATGTAACAAAATTAATTTTTAATAATTCCGTGTATTTTCATTAAACGAAAATTTATTAAATCAAACTGTTCAGCCGATTTGACATGATTGAGTCCGCCTGTTAGATACGTTTCATCGTAGCCGAAATCGTATCGTTTCAAAAAAATAACGGGACGCAGATGCTCATATAATAAAATTAAATTTTTAATTATTCCGTGTAATATTATTAAACTAAAATATATTAGTTCAAACTGTTCAGCCAATTTGACAATATTGGTTCCGCCTGTTAGATACACCAAAACCGTCACCAACATTACCTTCGTAAAAACGAATTAGACCAGCGAGACGAAAGATCACACTTTAAAGAAGCAAAAGTGAATTTAGCGACAAGCACCATTTAAATAGCAGTGATTAAAAGTAAATTATTCATTTAAATCAAATGGTTTTAATTTCTATACTACGTATATGGTTTTAATTGGTTGTTCAGGTTCATTTAATCATTTATCAACTATTTCATTTAACATATGTGGTTGTTCAGATGTACGGCGCATGTTAACTTTTTTCAATTCTTGTCACCGCACTTCTCCTGTATGGGACATCCAATCCTGTTCCATCCTATTATTTTAACTAAACCTAACCACCCCTGCTTACTATCTTGTCCTTTAACCTTAATTTTTATTAACGCCATTAGACCAGTCGTCATAACGTCATATGCGGTAAGTCACAGTGACAAAACGTTTTTCAAAATGAAGTCACGCGTTAAAGATTTCAACTATGAAATTTAAATTTTAAACACCAGAATCCGTTTGTTATAAATCAGAATATCTAAATCTGCGCCCAGCGGTTCTTACAATTTGTTGCAGTACGAACAGGTGCCAGGATTTCTTTTTTTAAGATTTGCACAGAAATAAAATACGACAAATTCATTTCATCGATTTTAAATTGATATTGAGAAGAGAACGAAACATTTGTACAATAAATATATAGTGTCACCTGTTGTTTGTCACGTTGCGTTGTTTCAAATTTTTAAATAGTAATAAATAAGATATTTAAAAATATAAAAATACAAATAAATTACTACGAGATTGAAAATAACGTAAATCATTGAAATATTGAAAGTTGAAAATCAGCCGCCAAAACAGATTAATTACATAGCATCAAAATGAAACCTCTGTGATTCTTGATTTCTCTCTGCCTTGTCTTCCTTCTAATTATGGGGGTAAAAAGAAGAAGAAACAAATCAAACGGTGGAATTCAAATAGTACTGACTATTAAAATTTATAAAAAACTAGATAGAAAATGTGAGCACCTATTAAGACCTAACAAATATTTACAAATGAAAAAACAAACACTTTGAAAACGACTCGCTAGGCTAAATATCAATACAATGCTACTATTAATAACAAAAAGAAACCAATCAACTGCTGAGTACATGTCACAAACAAGCCAGGGATACCGACATGCCAATTTTCAAAATCCCATCAACCACACACTCACAAACCTTTTCGACGATCAAAAGAGCGCCGACGAGGAAGACGAGTCCAATGCAAGTAGCTCCGAGAACGGCTGCCGTCGTGTAGATGGCTTTCGACGGCGTCACGAACAACTGCATCGTCCATCTTGAAATTAAAACTTCTTCTTATGATGTTACTATGCTAATTTCCAATTTCAATGTTACTCCAATGAAAATTTTAAATTTGAACATATTTATGACCAATCAATCAGTCAATCAATCAGTCATTCAATCAATCAACAAAATAATTCCATAACCCTTGCACGGAAAAAAACTTCATGGATGCCAAGAATGTAAATAGATGCTTTAAAAGTAATTAACTTAAGTACCTTTCCGTTAAAGTGTTTAACATCTAGATGAAATGAATTAATTACAAAATGGACATCTTACGTGTTAGGCGTGTTTGGCCTGTAAGGGTTGACAAGAAGTTGTGAGTTGGGTATTATCTGAGTCCAGTTCTTCTGTCTGGTTGTCTTCATGATAAATTTTCATTATTTTAACGTTCAGACATACAATTAAATATACCCATTATACGCAATTGAATTTGCGAACCAATTTAAAATTCTTTCAACAGCAGAAGTAACAAATCACTAGTCAACCAAACAAGTTAAGCAACGAACCAAATGCTATGTTAGACAGATAAATATAAAATAAATAAATAAAAGATAAATAGAAAGTCACACCCTATTGAAAATCTGAGGAAGAGTGATAACTACTTCATCAACGAAGTTTGGTGTTTGCCCAAGTCCAAACAAGATGAAAGGTAGTTGCAGAGAGAAGTGAGATGTTTGACTCATCTGACTAGCTATCAAAAAAAGTATGTAAACAATATGATAATCAAAGTTTCATATCATATAATTTTCTTCTAAAGTAAAATATTTAATTTTTGTTATACCAACAAAACAATACAATATAAAGAGGAAACAAAGAAAAGATGATGAACAGACGGGACCAACCGCAACTCCTCTGTTCCTCGCCAAAGGCAGTTGGCTTGGTTGTTCTGTACCAAACTGTCGGACCTACAGTGTTCAACCCGTGTGGCTGGTGAGACAATTGCGCGTCATTTAAGTTATGAATTTGTTTGTTCATAAAGGGCATTCGAAAGAATAAAATAGTCCTAATAGGATATAAAATAAGTATTATAAAAACATTTGTCAGTGATTAAATTATTTTATATAAATCATGAAAAATAACTGAAATACTGCCAGATTATGTGGCATTGAAAGAAATAATTAGCAGAATCTTAGGAGATATATTACAAAGTTACCTTCCTGTCAGCAGTTGGATAAATATCGACTACGCCACTCGTCACTGAAATAAAATGAGGTCGTCGTTGTATATGAATGAAGCAATCACGTGGTACGTGAGTAACGCCATTAGGTTATAACTAGAATAATAATACTTTCAAGTGCTTGCTGTGTGCTGCACTAGCCAGTTATCTTAAAGAATAATCAGTAATGGCGATGCATTTAACTTGCTACAAAATGCTGATGAGGGTGATAAAAGTCGGAGCTAAAAACAAAAAAGATGAAAACTCGGTTGATAAATGAAGATTGTTCAATTACACGAACCGGTAACTTTCATGAAGCATGTGTCAGACGCAATGTTGTTCTTCAGGAGAATGTTGTGGAAAGAAGATGGAGGAAAGGATGAAGGTGAAGAGAAGCATGTCAACAAAGTGTCCAGAGTACCCTGCAGAGGAAAAGCAACTATCATAATCAAAAAGATGTACCTAATTATAATGTTCGGTTAGAGATGAGCAAGGTTAAGAAAAACGAGAAATAGCAAATGGCTGAACTGATACAAAAACACAAAGTGATAAAGAGAAAGTAAAAGAGAGAGAAAGGGAGAGAGAGAGAGAGAGAAAGAAACCCACATCTTCCATGTAATCGAAAAATGCAGCCACATGTACGTTATCTTCAACAGATGGCAAGACACCTTCTTGAACTTGCAAAATCCTCCCGAAGCCAACACACTTGTTGTTCATGTTGCAAGGTAGGTTCTTCAACAGAATCGGAACGTACTTTCTACACAACAATCAAAAAGAAGATGTAAAAAAACATTTCCAAACATTTTGAATTTTTCATAATTATTAACAATGAATATTCATAACTAGCATCACACGTCGTGTAAACCAGATAAGCCACAACGACAGCCATCATCAACATGTGATGCATAGCCACCATACCATCATCATCCTCTTCATCACCAACTTCACTAAGTTCTTCCAGGCGACAGTCAGGACATCTGGATAGCCATCCTGGTCGTAATCACCGATAATCAGGTTGACAGGCAGTTTGTATGTTGATGCAGTGCTCGCTAAAACGTGGTTGTAATCAAATGAGTAGTCGGGTTGTATGTCCACCAGCGTATGCCACTGACCATTTATTTGTTTGCGGTTGTTTGGATATTGTATCACATCGTATCATATCATACCATTATCATACCAGACAATATATATACAATTATAAAATGTGAGAAGGAATCATTGAAAGAGATGACTCTTGTCACAACAAAAACTGCCAATAAAATTTATCTTTCTTTAGTCAGAGCTGAGGAAAAAAAAGAGACAAGAGAGAAATAGAAAGACAGACACAGAAAGAGAAACAGAAAAAGAAAGAGGAAGAAAAAATTGATATTGATATAATTTGATAAAATTTGTATAAAATACAAAATATCACACAATAATCCAGCAGCTAGTGCCTGATTAAATGGGGAAATAAAAAAAAACAAATCAAACATTTTAACAAATTAACCAACGACGATATACAACAAGATACAACAGACGCAATGGCTGAACGACAAACAATGAAACAATATAAAAACGACATCGTACAGTGCCATTGTGGTAAACTTGAATTTGATTCTCAACTGGAATGAGATGATCTATGATTCCATCCTGATCTGTGAATAATTATGTAGCGACCGGATTTACTTTAAGAAAAAAGTTGTAAATAAACTCGTGGGTTTCATATCATTTAGTCGTTTCTAACAACAAAGTTATAGTATAGTGAGTAAAAGAGTAAGATAATTATATACACCAAATAGTAAGAAAGTTAAAAATTTACCAAGTTCAATTCCTAACTTTCATTACCAGTATTTTGAAAAAAAAAATATTTACTATGAAATGAAGTAAGGCAACGTACTTATATCAGCGAATGCTGACTGTCCGACAGGCAGTTTTGTCTTGATGTCGTATGTACTCGCTTCCTCGTACTACGTGTAGAGAAATATCAACACTTACATGTTCAACATTTTATAACAACTACTTCAAGATAAATATTATTTAAATTACCAACACCTTCAAACACTTAATCTTTTATTTTCCACTAACAAATAACTATTATACATCTTAATCCACCACGTAAATTATTAAAAACATTATTGTTACTAGGAGCAATTTTTTTAAATAATTTGAATGATGTTAAGATTAATGTTAATCAGCGAGTATTTTGAAAGAAGCTTAAAATAAAAATTTTGATAACATCAACAATTTTAATGAAACAACAATACAACAACAAAACAACATCAGCTTATAACAAGTGCATCTTTAGAATGCAATAAAAATAAGCATAAGAAAGGTCTTACTAACGTTGCCGTCAGTGAAGATGGTGAACGTGTTGTCAGACGTTGTCAGAAATAAATCTGTAGACGCGTTGGATTAAATGTATAAGCATTGCTAATGTACGAGCCGACAGGCACTGATCTATATTTGTACCTCTTTCTTTCATAATCATTGTTTTTTGAATTTGCACACCGCACATACACACACGCACACACACTACACGCACGCACATACGCACGCACACACCGTGACTTTAATCACTTATTATTTTTATTACGCTATCTTTCAGGAACAATACATTAATGACAATAACCAAAGAACAATCAACAAAGTTAACAATACAAGCATTGAATAGTATTATTAGTAAAGCAAATACTAAATAGTGGCCATATCAAACTATTTATATGTTGTACAATTATTAAAGCCTAAATTAAATAACTATAAAAAATTTATGATAAATTATGTAAATGATTTAAAAACAGAAAATTGCATCATAACATTAATAAAACATGTTAAATACGCTGAAAAATTTACTATGAACTATACAAATAATTAAAAACCAAAGAATGACTGACCCGTATTGAATGAGGACCTGAGTTGAATGAATGCAGATGAATGTGGGTGATGGAGATCAAACTTTTTCAAGAATGTCACTGGATTGAAAAGTTGGTTTTTGTACTCAGCTATCCAAACTGTGGCATTGTTCTCGTGGTTCACCATCATAATGTCAGGCAGCATGTCACAGTTGTAACTGTGAAGAATTTTTTTACCTTTTAAAAGAAAGCAAATGCAGAAAATGGTATTTGTGAGGCATTAAACAAGAAAAAAAATTATTAAAAAAAAAACTAAATAAATAATAAAAATTTAAAACAAATTTTAAGAAATAATTAAATAAAAATAAAGTTCATAAAAAGATGGACATTATTGAAATTATATGGTTAGGGTGAAAATGAAATAAAACCAAATGATAAATAATTAATTTAGTAATTTAATACTGTACAAACTCAAATATAATTGGCTCATCTTTGTATGTTCCATCCAACTTAGAGGTGTGGTCTGAAAGTAAAAATATTTCAATAGGTTAAAAATTACTATTCATGTCAACATGAATACTTTACAACAGATTGTATAAATTCATAATAATCATTTGTAATTTTATTCACCCGGTGATGATAAGTGAATAAAGTCACAGTCATTTTAATCATCAGACAATAGCAGAAAATTAAGTGTGACAATGATGATGATGAAAATAAAAAAAGTAGTGATGAAAAAACAAAAACAACTTACTTAAACCAATATTTGATCCCCAATGAACTTGAACAGTGTATGATAAATTACTGTTGTTGTTGTTAGCTTTCATGTTACACTTACTGACCAGAATATCTTGATGGCCATCACCATTGAAGTCGGCCACTGCAATCCCACTTATAAAATCATCTGCTTCTTTTCCAGCTCCTGCTGTTGTTGCTGATGTATCTGCCTGGTTGACTATCAATGTTTCCCGTTTGAAGTCTCCATCTTTGCTTGCAAGCCAGATGTCAACATTTTGACCTGTCAACATTTCATTATTTAATTTCACATTTTTTTTATCTTAGTCTTTACTTTTTAACACATTTTGATTTTTTAACGATTTAATTTAATTTAATTAATTAATTAATATACTAAACTAAACAGCATAAACATAAAAAATCTTTTTACATTGTACAGCGAAACAGCAAGCCCAGTAAAACGGAAATTTTAAATTAAAATTTTATTAAAAGATATTCAACTATTTTAAATTTAAAAACTGAGCCAACCGGAATTTGATATGGCAAAGACGTCAACGTTTTTATCGGCGTTGTAATCAGCGAACCCAGCAATGATGCCGTCGAAGCTGGCGTTGAACTGGTAGTACAGAACGTACGTGTCGTCCGTCAGACATGAAGGAATCAAACAAAAAATTAAACAAGAAAATGAAAGCAAACAAAATTCTTCACGATGACACATTTCGGATTAATGTTGTTTACAAAAACATGGCAAAACATTTAAAAAATAACTTAGGTTACGGGCTCTTAGTATACGTAAATTCATAATGTCAATGTTTATAACGGAGAGATTACGATAGTTCAATTTTTGGTACTGAAACTCCCTGGTTACTACATCAAACAATGTCTGAACTCTTCCATTCATTCATGCCAAAACTTTAAAAATTATTTAGGATATATTTTTAGTTTTTTTTACATTTTCACAAGTTTTAAGACTTCTTTCAAAAACGTTTTTTGTTGTCAAAGTTTCTCCTCACACGTTTCTCAACTCCCATGATTCTACAATTTTTTTCATAAATCTCTTAATTTATTATTTTGGCAAATTGTTTGAACTTACTAATTTCTTAGCTCCTCTCACAAATTTTCTTTTCTGAAATTCTCAACCTTTCTAAAACAATTCTTCAATCTCTCCTGTGTACAGCCTGCTATTTTTATACATTCCATATTTCTAACCAAGCTTCACACCTTTTCTACTTAGCAAATTGCAACAAAATTATATCTTGATGGAAAATTAATAAATAACGAAACATTTTTACGTAACTTTTTATTTAAAATAACGTAAAATAAACATTGTATTTAAAAATCATCAGTTAAAGTTTAGACATAATACATTTTTCTCCGTTTCCGTTAAAAAATCAAATATGAATCGTATAAATTAAAAACAACTTTACACATGTTGAGTTTTTGTGTGCGTCAGTGTGGTAACGTCAGGCTGTATCTTTTTAACCTAAAAAATGAAGTTTTAAAATGTTGATTTAAAAATCTAACAAAATTAACATTAAAAAATATTATCGTAAGAAGTGCATCTACAGACATTTGGTCAACACTGAAGCAATCAGTTGTTCGATAAACAGGATAATATGAAAGGTGTGTAATGTTATAATGTAGATAAGCTAATCCCCACATAGAAATATCAGCCCAAGTGCTGATTTGGCTCAGGTCTCTTGTGGCGATGATATATTACATATATTATATCACATCGGAATGGTACAATGAATACATCTCTTAATTCAATTGATAAGATAATGACTAAATTTGAAAAATAGAATATACTTGGATAGTAATTTTTCATCTTTTTTAGAATGTTTATGTTCATCATTGTGACGATGAGCGTCTTCGTCACTGTCACTATCGTCATCGTCACTGCTTTGGTCTCTTTTATGATTTTTCTTTTTAGACTTTTTTGATTTCTTATGCTTTTTGTGCTGAGATGCAAAAAAATATTTAATTGGTGAATGAAGTTTTTGAAACAAACCATTCAACAGAAATTATATTACCTTGTCTGACGATTTGTGTTTTCTGCTCTTCTTGTGTTTTGCCGGATCGTGTGAATCTTTTTCTTTCTTGTCAGCTTCATAAAATTTTTCATCGTCAAATGAATAAAAATGTATCTATAATGAGTTGTACAAAATAATATCCATGAAAAAGGCAGAACAGAGACTTTAAACTTTTTCGAGCAAACGTTTGTCCTTAATAAACAGATGCTAATACATTACGCAATGAACAAACGCAAGTAAACACATGCGAGTCTTATTTGAATTCTGAAAGCACAGATCAGCAAATTTTAGCAACAGAACGTGTGAATCTACTAAACTCATATTACCGAACAATCATCTTTCACAAAACTAACTTAATAAATTTTATCCTATGAACATTGACACAGAAAAGCGTCTACGTCATTACATTATCACCCACGATCAATATTTACAAATTATCCTTTATAAAATATAGTGAATAGACGTCGAAATTGCTCTTTCCTCTAATAAAATGTACGTACAGCGGAAGAACAGGATATAGCAGCTCCAGTCTAAAACTAGCTATTTCCTACTGGTGTTGTCCTATCGTAATCCTCCCATTATAAAACTTAACTCGATGCACAACCAGCAATGTCGTCAATCATCAATCATAATTGGTGTAGTGAGATCCCAAGCGGAATAAGCTCGAGTTATAGGCGAGAATTGAAATATAGAACCTAATGACGCAAACCCGCCTAGGTTAATCAACCACCAGATTAAACACTACATTTCAATTCCTACGTTTAATTCAACGGCAACACGTCGAATGATGTACAATAAATTGTCTTTAATAATTGCTAAGTTGATACCAAAATTATTTATAGTTAAAAACAAATAATAATTAATAAAATTTATTGCGAAACAAATCAGTGCTAACGAGGTTTGAAGAAATGCCTCTGGGGATGTAGAGTTGCTTGGAAACTTGAGAAGGTCGTTGAAATGATGGAACCAGGTCGTACTGTTGACTCATTCTTTGGAGTTTTGCCATCATTCTCCGCTGATGCTATGCAATCATCAGGGACGTTTAACACTGCACCTATTGGTGAAAATATTGCATTAATGATACCATCACATCCTAATACTGCTGGGCATATATTCTATATAGTAATTAATATTATAGTATTATATATTACCAGAAGTAGTAGAATTCTGGTCCAGGTTAGAGCTATTGAATGAGATATAGTTGTCAGATGTTGGTGATGATTTGTTTGTTGCATCGACATCAACTTTATCAGTGTCGTCGTAGGTCTCTTCGTCGTTTCCATTCCCAACTTCATCCTCGTCGTCATCATCATCCTCAAAAATCGCTTTGAACAGATCAATGCTCGGCCTCTTAGGCTCCACATTCTCACCACTAGCATTATCCACACCACCACCAGCATCATCATCATCGCGATCGTTACTGCCGCCACAAGCTATATCAGTTGCTTTTGTTGACGTGGCTGCAGTCGCTACTATTGACGTTGTTGTTATTGTTGAAGTAGCTAGTGTTGTTGCGCTTTTAATTTCAAGTGGTTGTTGATTTCGAGACATAACATCATCAGCCGGTATCAGATGTATGTTGGAAACTGCAGCTTCTGATGATGATGATGATTGAGGTACCCTTAAATCCACTTTTGATAGAATAGCTAGAGGCTTTGTGGCTTGGGTAGGTGGTTTCCTATTAAAATCTGCAAATAGTTTTACGATTTGTACTCGGGTTTCACCATATATATGAATGACGAAACGAAAAATGTAAACAAAAATTAATTAAGAGATACAAAATGAAATATTTTCAAACCAGCATCAACGGCTTTACTATTTAAAGACTGTTCAACGTCATTATCATTTTTAATGACATCGCCCGAAGTTGTAAAATTGTGCTGCAAGAAATTAAAAATGGAGTGCTTGGCCTTTTTCGACACTGGCAATCCAACAATAACTGAGCTGTAATTGAAATGGAAAACCATTGTAATTGATGCAATATTTCCTCTATTAATATGTCTTCTGGAATAATTGTAAATTTTGAATTGGTTAAATAAAAAATTTATAAAATTTCACACAAAACGCACACACACATTTTTTCTACATCCAACATTTATTCACAAGTCGGTATCAATCCGAATCAAGAAGAGACCAACTCAGGATAGGGATCTTCAACATTGAATCTGACACAGAGCAACTTAGCAGGATGCCACAATGTGCATTCCCTGGTCAGTCGACCAAACATCTTCTTCACAACAGCCGCCTCCTTGTCACTCAGCTGCTGCAATGTTGTCATCATTGTAGTTAAAGTAGTGTAGTTAGTTGTGTACGTATATATGTATATAATTGTAAGTATGTACCTTAGAAATAAAAGCTGAAGACAATAAAAAATTCCTAATGGAAATGTTGACGTAAACAACAACGTTATTAAGAGCTCAACAACACTCAACCAAACGCCGCACCTTTAAACCTTTAAAACTAACAAGGAGAACACCATCGAAAAAAACGAATTAATAAAATGTGACCTAATATAACCAAATAACCTAACCTAAATATGTATATATTAATTACATCTTTTAAAGATCAGGATTGCTTACAATCTTGTTCAAATTTACTAGTGATTTGTTACTATATTAAATGTATTAACTGGAAGTAAAGAATTGCAGTTTTGGGGTGATTGACATGAATGGTTCCTGTTAATATGCGGGTAATATGGTTTTACAATTTAATATATATACACATGCATACACAAATTACAATCAATTCTTTGCGTGAGTTTTATGTACTTTTTACAACTCTCCTTATTATTCCATCAGAGACACCCCTCAACAACAACAAGCACATAGTGTATGCAACAAGTGAATCAACACATCACACACATCGCATGTGATAGGCAGAAATCTTCCTACATTCGAATCCGGTCACTACAACAGCCGTACCACGTACCTATACCACTACACTACTGTCTTGCCAATTCAAACCATTCCTTACCACTTCACAAAACATAAGTCAGGTCACACCTGGAATAGTCAGTAGTGTATTTGGAGACAGTGGACTGCAGAAGAAATTAAAGATAAAGAGATGATTGCAATGATTGGAAGGCATATATATATATATATATATATACATATATATATATATATATATTTATACAATATATTGTAAAATTGTAAAAATTATGGTCTATTACCAGCATATATATATATATATATATATATATATATATATATATATATATATATATATAGGCCTATAATAATGTGTGATAATGTAGATAGTTATGTAGAGTCAGATGGCAGTACATATTCAGTAAAATAAATCTGGAATATGAATAAGAGCTAATGGAATGTATAGCACACGACAAAGTTCAAATATCAAATCAAATCAAATCAAATCACTTTTATTCAATCAAACAAAACAAAAGCATGAATGATTCGGAGACCAAAAAAAGAAAATTAATTCTTGTGGGCTCGGCCACCGTGCAGTTCAAAATTGCTTCTCAATGATAAAATAAAATTGTCAATAGGAGAAAATGTATCAATGTTAATGAAATATGTACACACTTATATACATATATATACATATACATTATTATCCTTGAAAAACAGAACTTTTCGTAATTAAAAAATTTTTCAGTTTATTTTTAAAAAGATGCAAAGTGTTACAATCTTTAATTTCTTGTGGAATCGTCTCCCATATTCCTGGGCCGGTGTGTTTCAAACTCATGCAGAGTACTTTAATTCTGGCTGGTGGGGCATAGAAAAGTGGCGTGTGGCGTGTAGTTCTTGCTTGAATGGAAGTTCCAAAAGTGAAAAAGTTTCTAAAAAATGCCGGCAATTGCTGACGTAGAAATCTAAAAATGAATGTTGCAACGTGGTAGATGAACAAGTTTTTGATGTTGAGTATTTTCATCTCGAGATAATATTCACTTGTGTGACAATGAGGATGAAGATTTTTAAATATTCTGATGAATCGGTTTTGGCATTTTGTTAACTGTTTTAGATGAATGTCAGGACTGTTTCCCCAAATTACGTTGCAGTAGATGAGATGAGGAAAGATTAACGAATAATACAGGTCAATTAGAGTAGGTTTATTTAATTTATTTTTAATTTTGCTTATAACTCCTAGGGTTTTGCATATTCTTTTAGACATAGTATCTATGTGAATATCCCAAGAAAGATTGTCCTTGATTGTTACTCCAAGGAATTTTGTGCTGGTTGAGCGAGGAATAGAAATATTGTTCATTTTTATGTCTAGGTTAGGTATAATATTTGTTAAAATTTTCGGACCAAAAATAATGTAATTACATTTAGAATAATTTACTATTAATTTATTTTTGATAAACCAGGTTGATATATTTTGAAGACTGTTATTGATGTATTCTACTTCTTTCAATGGGTCTTTAGTTGGGAAGAAGATGTTAGTGTCATCTGCATATAAAAGGTGATTTGCATCAGTTGCATGTTGAAAATCGTTCATGAAGATTATGAATAGAAGAGGACCTAAAATTGATCCTTGTGGCACGCCTGATCTTACGT